GTGCGCCACCGGGCCGGCCCTAGATGAAGCACTTTGATAAGCTATGTTATAAAGAAGAAAGCAGAAAAATTCAGGATCAAAAAGAAAAAACCATCAGTGAAGTCATGAGAGAAACTAATAAACTAACACAGAGGAATCTCCAGGAGCATATCATGAACAGTAATTCAAAATTTAGCAGAACACTCAAGTTAGAAAAAGACCAGAGAATAGTCATTGGATTTGACTATAAATTAGTGTATAATTCTAGGTTTTACTTATGAATCTAGTACAGTCTTCCAAAGCCATCTGGAACTAGATTTATCTTAGAAAGTTTATAAAAAGCTTACTAAGCAACTTGTGTCTTAAAACTATGTAACGATTTCCACTGCCGAAAGTGAGAAATGTTGATTTTCAGGTCAGCAGTGAAAAACTTTCTAACAGTGATGGTGTTGCAGAATTTGGTGCCACCAAGTCTTCATATCCCAGGAGAATATGGCAGATTCTCTTCTCATTCCAATCTTGCAGAATTTGGTGCCACCAAGTCTTCATATCCCAGGAGAATATGGCAGATTCTCTTCTCAGGTTCCATTCCAATCACGTAAACAAGGTGTCTGCCTTTTTTCAATGACATTGAAAAGACCAGAGACAAATTTTAATTCAACTTAGATGACTCTGAGGTCTTACAAATAGCTCTATCTACGTGCCAACTTTATCTTATGTATGTAGATTTCTTTCTAGTTGAGTTTTATTCATTTGTACTTTTCAATTTTAATTTTTGCATTCCATAAAGCTCACAGAATACAATAAAAAAAGAGTGAGTAATAAATAACCAAAAAACTCACCAGAGAGTTATTCACCTTTTGTTGCTCTTGTAAACCCATAGTGCACTGTGGCAGCATAGCTGGGAGAAAAGAGATTGGAGTGGATTAAGGAGAGAACTGTTGTGGTTTTGCTGTAGATACTCCCTCCCAAAACTCTCTACTTATTAGCTTAAAAAGGCAAACAAAAAGACTCCTATGAGAGAACAGTCCTTCATGCCTCAATAAGGGAAACAAGGACACCATAAAAGATGCATCTACAAGTATGTTAATAGCTACACATTACACACACTGTTTATTTTTGGGTTAATGAAAACATGTATAACCTACTGACAGCAATAATCAATATTACCTAAACATATAATTTAACTTAAACCAAAGAAAAACACATTGTGACATCTCTAAAATTAGTGTTATAGAAATAGTTTGGATATATTAACTGTGACCCTATTAATATGTTAAATTCACACGACTCCAAAAAACTTCTTCCATTAAAACACATCTTCCTTTTATGCACCTAAATATCTGGATAGTGTGCATCTTACAACCCAACACATTTTGCTGATTATATAGGTAAACAAAATACACATAATGTATATTTCTTCTGGTACATCGATTTCCCTGTACACAATCCCTCATGTAGCATGCTCTGACAATAAACTAGTCTTTTTCATGTGACCAGCTTTGGACAGTGGCACATTAGAAACTGTCATGCAAACATAGGTTTGTAAAGTACTGCCCATTGGTGTTTCCCTCTTAAACACACTCATACTGTGAAGAAGCCTGGGGAGACACAGGCCCCAGCCAAGGGTCAGTGCAAACCATGTGAGTGAAGCCATCTTTAACCACAGACTCAGTCAAGCTACCAGGTGATTAAATCCATATTTGTAATCAAGGGAACAATAGAATGAGTACTGCCTAGCTAAATGCACCCCAAGATGTGGATCCACAGAACTTCAAAAAAAAAAA